AGACAGTTAAATTTCTGTTGGAGACCGTAATTTAACTTCCCAGACCGTAATATTAATTTAAATAAATTTTTTTTAAGGAAAAAAAAAAAAAAAAAAAAAGTCAATTAACAGTTAAGTTACTGTCTCCGACAGTTAAATAACTGCTGGAGACAGTAATTTAGCAACGAATACAGTAATATTAATTAAAAATATTTTTTTTAAGAATAAAAAAGTCAATTTACAGTTAAATTACTGTCTCCGACAGTTAAATAACTGCTGGAGACAGTAATTTAGCAACGAATACAGTAATATTAATTAAAAATATTTTTTTTAAGAATAAAAAAGTCAATTAACAGTTAAATTACTGTCTCCGACAGTTAAATAACTGCTGGAGACAGTAATTTAGCAACGAATACAGTAATATTAATTAAAAATATTTTTTTAAGAATAAAAAAGTCAATTAACAGTTAAATTACTGTCTCCAACAGTTAAATAACTGCTGGAGACAGTAATTTAGCAACGAATACAGTAATATTAATTAAAATATTTTTGAAGAAAAAAAAAAAACAGTCGATTAACAGTTAAATTACTGTCTCCGACAGTTAAATAGCTGCCGGAGACAGTAATTTAACAGCCAAGACAGTAAAATTAATTAAAATATTTTTTTTAAGAAAAAAAAAAAAAAAAGTCAACGCCGGAAACCCGGCGGTCAACGGCCGTTGACCGACCGAAAAAAATTTTCAGGAAAACAAAATTCCAAAAAAAAAAAAAAAAAAAAAAAAAGTCAACGCCGGAATCTGGCCGGAAAAAAAATATTTCAGAAAAAAAATTATTTTCTGAAAAAAAAAAGTTTTGGGGGTTAATGTGATATATTTGTTAAAATCCGGGGTCAATGTGTAATATTAAAGAAGTTAGAGCATAATGGGTGGAATTGATACGAATTAGGGTTAAAATTGGGGTCAAAATTGAAATTTGGGTTAAAATTGGTTAATTGATGAAATTAGGCTAAATTGGGGTGTAAATCATGAAATTGGAGTTAAATTGGGTTTCAAATGAATTGGGGGTAATTTTGGTATATATAAAGGGATTTTCCTTATTTGCAAATAAGTTTGAATGGGGTGGATTTATTTGAAAAACAAAAAAGTTGGATGTCCCTATTTTAATTAAGTGCCCTTGTCATGGGCCTATTTGCCATACCCCTAATAATAATAAAAAACGGGTATTAATTGTTGTTTTACTAGTTGGCTTGAAAGTCAACTAAGTGACAACGCGGTTTTAATTTATTAATTTATATGAGTCCCATTTATTATTATATTTAATACGTTCCAATGTTCGGCAATATGAACACGCTTTGAAAATGTGATTTTCCCTTTTTATTTTTTATTTTGGCTAAATTCCTATATAATGATAGTTGAAATTAAAAAAAATAAAAATTAATCGGAATATTTGGTTGACACTTTGATTTTATATTAAACATAAAATAAATATTATAAGTTGCTTTAAGAATACTGTAGTGTGTAAAATGCCACGTTCATTTATCTCTATTAAATTCTCGTAGTTAAATAGTTGGGGTAGTAAGACGTTTAATCGACAAGATTCGTACTTAGTTAAATTTACTACGAAAGTTAAAGTTCGAAATCTGAATACGTTATTTCATTAAATTCGAAGCCGTAATCTCTTAATACACAAAATCCTTGTTTGTTTAGTATTAATAAGTTTTACTATTAACTAAATAGTGCGTGCTAGTAAAAAAAATTTGGTTAATAAAATTCGTGTTTAGTCAAGTCTGCTACTATACTTAAAAATTGGAAATTACATAGTACTATTTGATTAAATGATTAGTTAGTGAGTGTGATGTTAATCGAATCTCACATAATTCAAGATGATCCAATATAAGTAAGCAAACGAAGGAGACCTCAATCAGACTGCTGATTGAAGAATTGAATTTTGTGGCAAATAATTGAATGGGCAATCTCAAATCTGATACCCAGCCTTAATATATCGTATATTACTTATCAAAAAAAAATTAAAAAAAAATCCAGTTCATCAGAAATAATGGCCAAAAAAAATTCAGCAAATGAACACGTGTATAGAAAAAAAATGAATGGGCAATACAGCACCATTCCAATTGAGTAGAATACAAAAAAGGGTATTTTAGAGATACCGAAAAAACCCCCAAAAATACCTTATATTAGCAGTTAGCACCACTTATATACCTGTTTCGAGCTTTGGTTATTGTTTACCATGGTTAAGAGTTCAGACTTAAGTTAATTTTATTTTCTCTTTTTTTTTTTAATTTCCGGTAATAACAATGGCCCAATCAGATTGATCCAAAAATAAAAAAACAATTGTCCAATTACGCGTTTATTACAAAATGCTCGTATTTGGAGAGACTTCTTTATAAGTTGACCATTGACAAGAAGATTCGAATTTGAATCAATTAATATGTGCTCAATTGTTCCAATCGTTAGACCAACTCATTTGATGATTGCTGCAATCGTTGTTTTGGTGACGGTTACCATATTTTATTACAAATACATTATGAATTCATATATGGATTTTGATAATAAATGCAATAGGCTGACATTCCGTGGATAATTGTGCACCACACAGTAAAACACTATCATTAACTTAAAATAATTAGTTAATTACTAATAATCTTAAAAATATAAAAAAAAAGCCAGATGTTTTAGGACAAATTCAAATGAATTCAGAAAAAAAGCTTCAAATAAAAGACTTCCTCTCAAATATGTTCACATCTTGGACGAACTGCTAGTGATGGAGAAAAATATGTGTATTAAGTCCGAGACCGTAAAAAATGTGGTGCAAATTGCAATTAATTCCCATCACGAAATAAATATTGGAAGCTAAGCTAATTTTAAAATTTTCCAACTCTCATGTGACAATTTTTAATTTCTGCATAAAATTAATTACAGTACAGTCGGGATTAATAAATTGTTAATTTGTCGAGCTAATAATATACTATATTTCTATCGATTCGGAATCGAAAGAATATATTATTCAAGTGAGGTTATTCATTTATAGAAAAATTATTTTTTGGTTACGTAAACGTGACATATTGACATGTATTTATAATAAAAAAATATTAAATAATGAGAATTCACAAATCTAACTAAGGTTAGAAAGAATTAGGTGGAATTTGATTTTTGACCAGTCTGGTTTGGTAGGCGTTTGTAGTGCTTCCTTGCTCCCTCCATCTCTCTCTCTCTCTCATCTCTACTTTCTCTCTCTAACATTTTCTCTCTCTACATCCTCCAATCACCATATATATAAGCTCCACATAAAACCTCTCTCTCTCTCTCTCATTCCGTAGAAGTCAGAGTCTCTCCAACCCCAACTACGCTCTCCCTACAAAGTTCATCAAACCTCCCCACAATTCCAAATAAGGAGAGACTCTGCATAAAAGGAGGAAATTATTTCTTTTTGTGTTTGTTTGATTGAGGCGTAATTCTTTTGATTTTTCCTTTTTCGATTTTCTAGCTCGGATCAGTTATTAACTCATGGAATCCACTTCCGAGAAGTTTTCGCCGTTCGATTTGATGTCGGCGATCCTGAAAGGGGTCAGACTCGACAATTCCAACGGTTCCGCGGAGGCGGCGCCGCCGGCGCTGGTGGCGATGCTGCTGGAGAACAAGGACCTCGTGATGTTGGTCAGTACTTCCGTCGCGGTGCTCGTAGGTTGCCTCGTGTTTCTGATGTGGCGGCGGGCGGGATCGGCGAAGAAGAAGGCGGTGGAGCTGCCGAAGCTGGTGGTTCCCAAGGCGGAGCCGGAGGAGGTCGACGACGGCAAGAAGAAAGTCACCATCTTTTACGGCACGCAGACTGGCACTGCCGAAGGCTTTGCTAAGGTAGATTAAAGTGCATTTTCCCCAATTTTTTCAATCGAAAATTCTGAAAATCAAATAAGTAAAAACCAAAAAATTGGAATCCTCTATTGGATCTTGTCATAAAATTGAAATCCTGAATGTCAATTTTAATATTCATAAATTACTAATGATAATATATTTTTTATTTATTTTATTAAATAATTGATTTTCTTTATTTAGGCACTAGCTGAGGAAGCAAAAGCTAGATATCAGCAGGCCAAGTTTAAAGTAATTGACTTGGTAAGTTTTAATTTTTTACTTATATTTATTTAAATTGCAGATTTACTTTACTTTTTAATTTTCTTAATTAATTTATTTTCTGATCTGCTATAGGATGATTATGCGGCCGATGATGAAGAGTATGAGGAGAAGATGAAGAAAGAGAATTTGGTTTTCTTCTTCTTGGCCACGTATGTTTATTTATTTATTCAAAAGTCCAAAAGTATCCTTTAATTGCATAAAGACAATACCCTCTTGTGTTTGTACAAGAAGTGCCAGTTCATAGTGTTAAGTAAACTAATATTTATTTGGTCCTTGTAATTTATTGAGTTGGTTGAGCGTTGGTTGTTTGCAGATATGGAGACGGTGAACCCACCGACAATGCAGCCAGGTTTTACAAATGGTTTATTGAGGTATAAATAATAATAATAATAAATAAAATTGAGACAGTAATAAAATATTTCTTGAATTTCTCACCAGGTTTGGATTTGGGGTTTAATTTATATTTATTTTGTGGTATAGGGAAAAGAGAGAGGAGATTGGCTTAAGAATCTCCAGTATGGTGTATTCGGCCTCGGAAACAGGCAATATGAGCATTTCAACAAGGTACATATATACATATATATTGTTTTGTAATTACATATGTTTGATTGCCAGCACGCGATTAATTGTTCGATTTTGTAGTTATTTGTTTGTTGTTTTTAATTTTTTATTCGTGTTTGTATAACAGATTGCTATTGAGGTGGATAACATTGTTACCGAGCAAGGTGGACAGAGGCTTGTTCCTGTGGGTCTTGGAGACGACGATCAATGCATTGAAGATGATTTCACTGCATGGTACAGAAAAAAAAAGAAAAAGAATAAGAAAAATCGTTATTTATATGATTGAATTTGTCCGTCTTTTTGAAACATAATTAGATAATGGATTAAAAATTTGTCCTTTTTCCCAATAATGCAATATAGGCGCGAATTGGTGTGGCCCGAGTTGGATAAAGTACTTCTTGACGGAGATGATGCAACTGTTGCTACTCCATACACTGCGGCAGTTTTGGAATATCGCGTTAAATTCCTTGACCAATCAGATGAATCTGTCTCAGATTACAGCTCAGCCAATGGCAATGCTGTTTATGATGCTCTACATCCCTGCAGGTACTGAGTTTGCCTATATATATATATATATATATATATATATATATATATACATATATACACGTACATCATGTACATATTTTTTAACCAAACATTTATATATATGTTTGCCTTAAAAGAGCAAATGTTGCTGTGAAGAAAGAGCTTCACTCCCCTGCGTCTGACCGTTCTTGCACTCACTTGGAATTCGACATATCTGGCACTGGATTAGCGTGAGTTTCTACTGCATACTTGATTGAACAGTCAACTTAGGCTGACTTCTCGATTGAGTTTCGTTTTTAACTAAATTCTTTTTTTTTCTATTATATTCTTCAGGTACGAAACAGGGGATCATGTTGGTGTATACTGTGAGAATTTAATCGAAACAGTGGAGGAAGCAGAAAGGCTACTCGATCTATCTCCACAAACGTATTTCTCTGTTCACATTGATGAAGAAGATGGAACGCCACTCAGCGGGAGCGGGTTGCCGCCTCCGTTCCCTCCTTGCACTTTGAGGACTGCTCTTACTCGATATGCCGATCTTTTGAGTGCTCCCAAAAAGGTATATATACATATATTTAGAATCTATATATGCCGGTCTATATAATTGCAGTTTGTATTGGATTTAACGAGTAAGAATGTATCTATTTTTCCAGTCTGCTTTGGTTGCATTAGCGGTGTATGCTTCTGATCCAAGTGAAGCTGATCGGCTCAAACATCTTGCCTCTCCAGCTGGAAAGGTTAGTAATTAAAATATGTTTAATTATGTCTTTGCACAAAAAATACCCCCCTTATCCTCTTAGGCCTTGTTTGGTTTGAAAGATGGGATTTTGTGGATTGTTAAATAATCTTGGTCGGTTAACGTAATCGAATGAACCAAACGTGCCCTTATCGGAAAATGTTGTGTATTTTCAGGAAGAATATGCTGAATATGTTGTTGCAAGTCAAAGAAGTCTACTCGAGGTGATGAATGAATTCCCATCTGCAAAGCCTCCACTCGGTGTTTTCTTTGCTGCAGTTGCTCCTCGCCTACAGCCTCGATTTTATTCTATCTCATCCTCCCCAAAGTGAGTTTTTCACTAATTACAGTTCAAGAATTAATTTTCACTTTCTTATTTTTATATATTAATACAAAGATTCTTTATTATGTTCTTCCAGGATTGCAGGAGAAAGAATCCACGTGACTTGTGCATTAGTACACGAGAAAACACCCACAGGACGAGTCCACAAGGGGGTTTGCTCCACATGGATGAAGGTATTTATTTTTCAGCTCAAATTTGATAGTAAAATAAAATAAAAAAAGGAAAAATTGTTTTCTCATAACTTTGTTTGCTTCTTTTACCAGAATGCTGTGCCAGCAGAGGAAAGTCTCGATTGCTCTTCGGCACCGATTTTCGTTAGGACATCTAATTTCAGACTCCCTTCTGACCCTATAACTCCGATAATAATGATTGGTCCTGGAACTGGATTGGCTCCATTTAGGGGTTTTCTTCAGGTTTCTATCCATAAATAAAAGCATTCATCTTTATTAATTGTGCTTCATTTTTCTAGAATAATTTAATTAATTCTCTGTGTATATTTTCAGGAAAGATTAGCTATAAAGGAATCCGGAGCTGAACTCGGCCCTGCTATATTATTTTTCGGATGCAGAAACAGTAAAATGGTTAGTAAATTCACCGAAACATCTCTTAACTAACTCAAACTTCATTAAAATATACAATTGTAATATCTTCGATTTTTACTTACTGCAGGATTTTATTTACCAAGACGAGTTGAGTAACTTTGTTGAAGCTGGAGTGATTTCCGAGCTCGACCTTGCTTTCTCACGAGACGGACCGACTAAGGAATATGTGCAGCACAAGATGGCACAAAAGGTACACACAATTTTGCTATTAACATGTTAAATATATTTAATTGCGATTTCTTTTGATTTATTTTTTTAATCTATAAACAGGCTGCGGATGTGTGGAATATGATCTCGGAAGGAGGCTATGTTTACGTGTGTGGAGATGCCAAAGGCATGGCGCGAGATGTTCATCGAACACTCCACGCTATTGTCCAAGAACAGGTTTGTGTCTCCTTTTACATGCGCATGCACATGTCATTTTTCTTTTCTTTTTAATTTGTTTTATAATAATAATAATAATAATAATTATTATTATTATTGGTGGGGGTCATTTGTTTTCTTGTTGGAACCACCACCTTCACATCCTTTTTTGTGGTTGTCATTTTTGTCGCGTCCTTTCGAAAATGTCCATTCGTTTTTTCTTGTTTTCTTGTTTTCTTGGTTGGTTTGATTGTGATGGATCGCTTACTCGAGAACTAACGACTAAACAAAATCTTATTACAGGGATCTCTAGACAATTCCAAAACAGAAAGCTTCGTGAAGAATCTGCAAATGAATGGAAGATACTTGCGTGATGTTTGGTAATTAATTCCTCCGATAATAAAGAAATAAAAGGAAACCACCATTGTTGTATTTGTCGATACCGAAAAGAAAAAAAAAACGCAGAAAGGAGGTTAAATATGCCACCCTCAGCAAGAATGCCATGATCATCTTTTAGTTCTTTGTGATTCTTTTCGACTTAGTTAATTTACGGGATTTTTTTTCTTCGTGCGTTTTATATATATTTATATATATATGTATACGAGTATGTACGATATATATATATACGAAATAATGATTGAGACAATGCTAAGTAGGTGTAGTTACTCTCTGTAATCTTTCCTAATGAGCCGGCAAAATGGTTCTGATAGACAACACATCTTGTTTTTGCACTTATGTATGTATAATTATTAAATGTCTTGTTTTTATTGTTCGAGATTTATAAGAAATTAATTTATTTGTTAGTTTTGTGACATACTAGGAAAGAGTACTGTTGTTTTAAATCTGGCCTTATTTTAGTTTGTTAAAATTATATTAGTTTTATAGAAAATATGGTTTATATGAACCAATTTTGAGTACTAAATAAAAAATAAAAAATAAAGAATAATTGTTGGGAATAAGAGAGAGATGTAGGTGGGATTGGATCTGTGGCACGTGAGTGCGCGTGCTGATATAATTGCAATGAAAAAGGTTGGTAGGTGAACCAAACCCCCAGCCTGCCAGGCCCCAACCCTCACTAAAAAAAATAATAATAATAGTAATAATAATAATAATAATTATTATTATTATCAAATGATTGAAAAAATAAGAATTAAATGAATGAAAATAGAGGGGAAATAAGAGTTGTCAACACGTGCGGAATATAATAATTAAAAAAAAAAAAGTAGAGTGAACATAGGTGAAAATCGGATCGAAAATTCTAAATTCCACAAATCCAACCTGAAATATTTCGATTTTGGAACTATTTACTCATTCTAATTTTTAAAAGAGTCACCTTTTTTTTGTGATTTTATTGGACGAAAATGGAAATGTATATACAATTATTGTAAAATTTCAATTCTTTATTTGATTTAATTGTCAATATAATCCTAAATATTCCAAAATTTTCTCATATTTAATATTGATATCCTCATAATACAACCATCTCATTTTTTTTTTTTAAATATACAATTCTAATTTTATGTTACCCCCATAAACTTTGTGGATAAATGTGTTAGAAATTGTACTAGTTTAAAATTATTTTCATTTTTGTTTTCCAAAGTAATTGAAATATTTTGTATATTTCCACAACAAAATCCTTATTGGTAGGTAGGAACTAGGATGTGACGACGTCATGTCTATCAAATTCTGTTGCAGAGATTTTCTAGGTCGATTTTATTATACATAATTAACCTAGAATAATTTACATTTCTTGTACGATTTACGAGTTATTGCAGGAAGATCAAGTTATCCAGCTCACTTTGAATGGTGCAGATGTCCAAACAAAAAAAAAAATTCAATGTATCTCTCTAGTATCTAAAAATTGATTCTCATTTCCTTTTTTATATTGATTAAGTTAGACTTTAGGTAGGATTAAATTCTAATAAAATAGGGGTGTAGAGTTAATTAATTAAATTGGACTTTAGGACAACAAATGTAGAACCGTGCAATAAATATAAAGAATCAAAGGAAAGGAGAATTGAGCTTTCACGTGTTGAGACCGTCGCCACCAAGGATTTGTGGTTGATAATTGTTTATTAATCTTTTTTTTTTTTTTTTTTCTTCCTGAATTGAATTCAATACTTCATTATTATTTAAGTAACGATCAAATACAGTTAAACCTTTATAAATTAATACAATCGTGAACAATAAAATTTTATTAATTTAGCAAATATTAAATTATCGAACTAATACTTTAATATATTTTTTTTCGAATAGAAACCGAGAAGAAAATATTATTTAAGTGAGATTATTAATTTTTCGAATGTGAATTGAAAAATTGTAATATCCAAATAGTCAACTATTCACTTGATTTGAATGAAAGTTTGGAGATTCCTCCTAACAGGAAAAGAGGACACGTGCTGCTGCATTATTGTAATTAAATTTTCCATAGTGCAAATCTAATTAATTTTATTCTTCAAAATAAATAAAATTTGTATAAACTAATGATGGGTGAAAAAATTGTTAGGCCACAATTGAATATTGTTTTTTGTATAAACTATTAAAATTTCATAGTATAACTAGCTTTTCAATGCCCAAAATTTAATATTTAAGGCATAAATATTTTTAATATAGATTTTAAACCAACTCACATGAATTATATCCAAAAGAAAATAATAATAAAAAAAATTGTAACACATAGAATTGTATCACCATTAATTAACACACACCAAAAATTAAGACAACTTAAACTAGAATAACTAATTTTCCCCCTAAGAACTTATCATATTATTTTTCACATAAAAATATTTTATTTAAAATTAATATTTTGCTATATCTTTATATGATTGATATTGTAATGTTTAATCGATATTGATAATATATGGGATTCTTTCGTACAACTTCACATTAAGGGCTCGTTTGGTTACAGCTATAAGGTGCTACTGACTAAATAGTAGAGGCTAATAACTTGTCCGGTTGGTAAGATTCACATTTTTTCAAACCCGCTACTAAAATCAAAGCCCGCTATTAAATGCTACTATATCATTAAATTAGTAGCACCCCCCCTGAGATTAATTTAATAGGGGTGACTAAAAAGGAAAAATACAATTTTATCCTTAAAATTATATTTTATTATTGTAAACTAAGTGGTTTTATGGACAATTCATATATAATAACTGATTTTAACAAATTTAATAGAAAATCTAATCTAAGAAACCGAACATGCTACTAACTAAATAATTAATTAGTCAATAAGGAGTTAATCCAATCTCATGTAATCCAATCTAATCCAATATAGGTAACCGAACGAGCCCTAAGTAATATATTTTGCCTTCTCACATCTTTTCCAGTAAATCAAGCTGTGCTTGGATTTATTTGGGCTTTGGCTAAACTTTTTAACTTTAGAATTATAAACTAACCCAATAATATATACCTGATGCCCACATTTATCTGGTTATCCAAAAATCAAATTCGTTGTGATCGTCAGTTTTTTTTCTTTTCATTCAACGAATCTAACCGTAGAATATAAATATTTGAATGTTATATGAAACTTCATTTATTAAATGAAAAAAAAAGCCACCAGCAATATCCCGATTTCATTATAGTAACATTTCAAATTATTATGTTTCTAAATTTTAGATAATAGAAATATTACATTGACAAATATACAAGCTACATTGATTTTTGTTTTTTTTAGATGACAAGTTATATGCTTCTTCGTAACAAAAAAAAGTTAGAATTTCGCACCAGCTAGCTAGGCACTGACACCGCGCCTCCATACTTCATACTTGTATTTGGGTGCATCACATTCACATGATTGATAACACAATCACACAAGTGAGTTACGTTGATGCTTCAACTTCCAACTTATCAGCAGAACATATGTAAATTACGTATTTCATCTTCTCATTGTCTCGAAACTCAAGTCCACAAACAGGGCATTTTGGGAGTAGACACAACGGACACTCCTGGGACTTTGGTAGCTTGCACGAGGTGGCACTTCTGCAGCTCGATAATCTTGAAGAACAAAGGACTAAACTTATTCATAGCGTCAGGTCGAGAACCCGTGGTTGCGATTCAAAAGAAGATTGATCATTCTATTATTTTTTTCAAAAAGAACTAATATATTTTAGTATTATTTGTATTAGTATTATTATTCGGAATCTTTGTTATAACATGCTCGTGCTTTTCTTTTCTTGTTGTTTTTTGTTTGGAAAATTTCAGTTCCAGAATCTTGAAAACCATAAGGATGAACTTATGGAGAGAGTGGAGAAGGTTAATTCTTAACAAAGGGTTAGGACTATGTTAACATAGGGTTTGGGTTGTCTTAATCTAATGACTATAATTTAGGTACTAAAACAATTTTATAAATTTATGAAAGATTTAGCTACAAAAATTATCCAGAAAAGTACCTAGAACGAATAAAATCCTTAGATATGTTTCTATGCGATATTTAAACTAAGTTTATCGAAACATGTAGATAATGGATTATAATTTATAAAATACGGATAATTGGACACATCACTCAAACAGGAGCTTGAAAGTATTTGTAATTATCGAAATCTCCTAAATTTTGTAGTCATTTAATATGAATCTTTCTTATTTAATGGAAGGTTCCTCAAAGAATATCATTTTTTCCTCCAGGGTAATAGTAATAATATTATATATTTAATTAGTGGGTTAACTAGTAATACACCCGTGCGATGCACGGTGTATTGATCGTATAACAAATATTGAATAATAAAAAATGTTCTCAAAATAGTGATATTAATTGTCATATAGTAAAAGAAAGAAGTAGAA